GTGTCTGTGATCGAACCCACGACCTCCTGTAGACCAGGCGAGGTAGTCAACATCTCTCTGTGTGATGGTGGTGGTGGTGAAGGTGGTGGATGGGAGAGAGATGATGATGGCGAGGTAGTCAACATCTGTGTGTCTGAGATGGAACCCACGACTACCTGTATACCAGGCGAGGTAGTCAACATCTCTCTGTGTGTGTGTCTGTGATGGAACCCACGACTACCTGTACACCAGGCGAGGTAGTCAACATCTCTCTGTGTGATGGTGGTGGTATTGGTGATGGTGATGGTGGTGGTGATGGTGGTGGATGGGAGAGAGATGATGATGGCGAGGTGGTCAACATCTCTGTGTGTTTGAGATGGAACCCACGACCTCCTGTAGACCAGGCGAGGTAGTCAACATCTCTGTGTGTGTCTGAGATAGAACCCACAACCTCCTGTAGACCAGGCGAGGTAGTCAACATCTCTCTGTGTTTGAGATGGAACCCACGACTACCTGTACACCAGGCGAGGTAGTCAACATCTCTGTGTGTGTGTTTGAGATGGAACCCACGACCTCCTGTACACCAGGCGAGGTAGTCAACATCTCTCTGTGTTTGAGATCGAACCCACGACTACCTGTACACCAGGCGAGGTAGTCAACATCTCTGTGTGTGTGATGGTGATGGTGGTGATTATGGAGGAGGTGGTGGTGGTGATGGTGGTGGATGGGAGAGAGATGATGATGATGTTGATGGCGAGGTAGTCAACATCTCTGTGTGTCTGTGATGGAACCCACGACTACCTGTAGACCAGGCGAGGTAGTCAACATCTCTGTGTGTGATGGTGGTGGTGTTGGTGATGGATGTGAGAGAGATGATGATGTTGATGGCGAGGTAGTCAACATCTCTCTGTGTGGTTGAGATAGAACCCACGCCCTCCTGTAGACCAGGCGAGGTAGTTAACATCTCTCTGTGTGTGTCTGAGATGGAACCCACGACTACCTGTAGACCAGGCGAGGTAGTCAACATCTCTGTGTGTGATGGTGGTGGTGTTGGTGATGGATGTGAGAGAGATGATGATGTTGATGGCGAGGTAGTCAACATCTCTCTGTGTGGTTGAGATAGAACCCACGCCCTCCTGTAGACCAGGCGAGGTAGTTAACATCTCTGTGTGTGTGATGGTGGTGGTGATTATGGAGGAGGTGGTGGTGGTGATGGTGGTGGATGGGAGAGAGATGATGATGATGATGTTGATGGCGAGGTGGTCAACATCTCTCTGTGTGTCTGAGATGGAACCCATGACTACCTGTAGACCAGGCGAGGTGGTCAACATCTCTCTGTGTGTGATGGTGGTGGTGGTGATTGTGGTGGATGGGAGAGAGATGATGATGAGGTTGATGGCGAGGTAGTCAACATCTCTGTGTGTGTGTGTCTGTGATGGAACCCACGACTACCTGTACACCAGGCGAGGTAGTCAACATCTCTCTGTGTGTGTGTCTGTGATGGAACCCACGACTACCTGTACACCAGGCGAGGTAGTCAACATCTCTCTGTGTGTGTTTGAGATGGAACCCACAACTACCTGTATACCAGGCGAGGTAGTCAACATCTCTCTATGTGTGTCTGTGATGGAACCCACGACTACCTGTACACCAGGCGAGGTAGTCAACATCTCTGTGTGTGTGTCTGTGATGGAACCCACGACCTCCTGTATACCAGGCGAGGTAGTCAACATCTCTCTGTGTGATGGTGGTGGTATTGGTGATGGTGGTGATTATGGAGGAGGTGGTGGTGGTGGTGAAGGTGGTGGATGGGAGAGAGATGATGATGATGGCGAGGTGGTCAACATCTCTGTGTGTCTCAGATGGAACCCACGACTACCTGTACACCAGGCGAGGTAGTCAACATCTCTGTGTTTGAGATGGAACCCACGACTAACTGTATACCAGGCGAGGTAGTCAACATCTCTCTCTGTGTGTGTGTCTGTGATGGAACCCACGACCTCCTGTAGACCAGGCGAGGTAGTCAACATCTCTCTGTGTGGTTGAGATGGAACCCACGACTACCTGTATACCAGGCGAGGTAGTCAACATCTCTCTGTGTGATGGTGGTGGTATTGGTGATGGTGGTGGTGAAGGTGGTGGATGGGAGAGAGATGATGATGGTGAGGTGGTCAACATCTCTGTGTGTTTGAGATCGAACCCACGACTACCTGTATATCTGGCGAGGTAGTCAACATCTGTGTGGTTGAGATGGAACCCACGACTACCTGTACACCAGGCGAGGTAGTCAACATCTCTCTGTGTGTGTCTCAGATGGAACCCACGACTACCTGTACACCAGGCGAGGTAGTCAACATCTCTGTGTGTTTGTGATGGTGATGGTGGTGGTGATAATGGAGGAGGTGGTGGTGGTGGATGGGAGAGAGATGATGATGGCGAGGTGGTCAACATCTCTCTCTGTGTGTGTTTGAGATGGAACCCATGACTACCTGTACACCAGGCGAGGTAGTCAACATCTCTGTGTGTGATGGTGGTGGTATTGGTGATGATGATGGCGAGGTGGTGGATGGGAGAGAGATGATGATGGCGAGGTGGTCAACATCTCTGTGTGTTTGAGATCGAACCCACGACCTCCTGTATACCAGGCGAGGTAGTTAACATCTCTCTGTGTGTGATGGTGGTGATGGTGGTGATTATGGAGGAGGTGGTGGTGGTGAAGGTGGTGGATGGGAGAGAGATGATGATGATGGCGAGGTGGTCAACATCTCTGTGTGTTTGAGATCGAACCCACGACCTCCTGTACACCAGGCGAGGTAGTCAACATCTCTGTGTGTGTGTCTGTGATGGAACCCACGACTACCTGTACACCAGGCGAGGTAGTCAACATCTCTGTGTGTGTCTGGGGTAGAACCCACGACTACCTGTACACCAGGCGAGGTAGTCAACATCTCTATGTGTGTCTCAGATAGAACCCACGACTACCTGTACACCAGGCGAGGTAGTCAACATCTCTGTGTGAGTCTGTGATAGAACCCACGACTACCTGTATACCAGGTGAGGTAGTCAACATCTCTGTGTGTGTCTCAGATAGAACCCACGACCTCCTGTACACCAGGTGAGGTAGTCAACATCTCTCTGTGTGTGTGTGTCTGTGATGGAACCCACGACTACCTGTACACTAGGCGAGGTAGTCAACATCTCTCTGTGTGTCTGTGATAGAACCCACGACTACCTGTACACCAGGCGAGGTAGTCAACATCTCTCTGTGTGTCTGTGATAGAACCCACGACTACCTGTATACCAGGCGAGGTAGTCAACATCTCTCTGTGTGTGATGGTGGTGGTGATGGTGGTGGATGGGAGAGAGATGATGATGATGGCGAGGTGGTCAACATCTCTGTGTGTGTGTGATGGAAACCACGACTACCTGTATACCAGGCGAGGTAGTCAACATCTCTGTGTGTGTGTCTGTGATGGAACCCACGACTACCTGTAGACCAGGCGAGGTAGTCAACATCTCTGTGTGTGTGTCTGTGATAGAACCCACGACCTCCTGTAGACCAGGCGAGGTAGTCAACATCTCTGTGTGTGTGTCATGGAACCCACGACTACCTGTAGACCAGGCGAGGTAGTCAACATCTCTGTGTGAGTCTGTGATAGAACCCACGACTACCTGTACACCAGGCGAGGTAGTCAACATCTCTCTGTGTGTGTGTCTGTGATGGAACCCACGACTACCTGTACACCAGGCGAGGTAGTCAACATCTCTCTGTGTGTGATGGTGGTGGTGGTGGTGGATGGGAGAGAGATGATGATGACGAGGTAGTCAACATCTCTCTGTGTGTCTCAGATGGAACCCACGACTACCTGTATATCTGGCGAGGTAGTCAACATCTCTCTGCGTGTGATGGTGATGGTGGTGGTGATAATGGAGGAGGTGGTGGTGGTGGATGGGAGAGAGATGATGATGGCGATGTGGTCAACATCTCTGTGTGTGTGTCTGAGATAGAAACAACGACTACCTGTACACCAGGCGAGGTAGTCAACATCTCTGTGTGAGTCTCAGATAGAACTCACGACTACCTGTATACCGGGCGAGGTAGTCAACATCTCTGTGTGTGTGTTTGAGATGGAACCCACGACTACCTGTAGACCAGGCGAGGTAGTCAACATCTCTCTGTGTGTGTGTCTGTGATGGAACCCACGACTACCTGTACACTAGGCGAGGTAGTCAACATCTCTGTGTGTGTGATGGTGATGGTGGTGATTATGGAGGAGGTGGTGGTGGTGATGGTGGTGGATGGGAGAGAGATGATGATGAGGTTGATGGCGAGGTAGTCAACATCTCTCTGTGTGTGTCTGTGATGGAACCCACGACTACCTGTACACCAGGCGAGGTGGTCAACATCTCTGTGTGTCTGTGATGGAACCCACGACTACCTGTATACCAGGCGAGGTAGTCAACATCTCTGTGTGTTTGAGATCGAACCCACGACTACCTGTATATCTAGCGAGGTAGTCAACATCTGTGTGGTTGAGATGGAACCCACGACTACCTGTACACCAGGCGAGGTAGTCAACATCTCTGTGTGTCTGATAGAACACACGACTACCTGTACACCAGGCGAGGTAGTCAACATCTCTGTGTGTGTGTGTCTGTGATGGAACCCACGACTACCTGTACACCAGGCGAGGTAGTCAACATCTCTGTGTGTCTGATAGAACACACGACTACCTGTACACCAGGCGAGGTAGTCAACATCTCTCTGTGTGTGTGTCTGTGATGGAACCCACGACTACCTGTACACCAGGCGAGGTAGTCAACATCTCTCTGTGTGTGATGGTGGTGGTGATGGTGGTGGTGATTATGGAGGAGGTGGTGGTGGTGATGGTGGTGGATGGGAGAGAGATGATGATGGCGATGTGGTCAACATCTCTGTGTGTGTGTCTCAGATAGAACCCACGACTACCTGTACACCAGGCGAGGTAGTCAACATCTCCCCCCCGTCTCTCTCCCCCAAGGCTCGTGTGGGAGTTTTCACTTCGCTACCCACTGACGTCGCTCAGCCTGCCGGTGATGCTGGCCGGCGGCTACATCACAGGGGTGACCACCTGCTGCCTGGTGGAGCAAGAGCATACAGCATGCCTGGCGGCCCTGGTGAGATGGTGGTGGTGGTGGTGGTGATGGTGGTGGTGATGGTGGTGGTGGTGGTGATGGTGGTGGTGATGGTGGTGGTGGTGATGGTGGTGGTGATGGTGGGGGTGGTGGTGGTGGTGGTGGTGGTGATGATGGTGGTGATGGTGGTGGTGGTGGAGGTGGGATAGAACCCACGACCTCCTGTACACCAGGCGAGGTAGTCAACATCTCTGTGTGTGATGGTGGTGGTGATGGTGGTGGTGGTGGTGATGGTGGTGGTGGTGATGGTGGTGGTGGTGGTGATGGTGGTGGTGATGGTGAGGGTGGTGGTGACGGTGATGGTGGTGATGGTGGTGGTGGTGATGGTGGTGATGGTGGTGGTGGTGGTGGTGATGGTGGTGGTGGTGGTGATGGTGGGGGTGGTGGTGGTGGTGATGGTGATGGTGGTGATGGTGGTGGTGATGGTGATGGTGGTGATGGTGATGGTGGTGGTGATGGTGGTGGTGATGGTGGTGGTGGTGGTGATGGTGGTGGTGATGATGGTGGTGATGGTGGTGGTGGTGATGGTGGTGATGGTGATGGTGGTGGTGGTGGTGGTGATGATGGTGGTGATGGTGGTGGTGGTGGTGATGGTGGTGATGGTGGTGATGGTGGTGGTGGTGATGGTGGTGGTGATGGTGGTGGTGGTGATGGTGATGATGGTGGTGGTGATGGTGGTGGTGGTGGTGATGGTGGTGATGGTGGTGGTGGTGGTGGTGGTGATGGTGGTGGTGGTGATGGTGGTGATGGTGGTGGTGGTGGTGATGGTGGTGACCTGAGAGACTTATCGATGATCTGAGAGATTTATTGATGATCTGAGATACTTATTGATGATCTGAGAGACTTATCGATGATCTGAGAGACTTATCGATGATCTAAGATACTTATAGATGATCTGAGATACTTATTGATGATCTGAGAGACTTATTGATGATCTGATAGACGTATTGATGATGTGAGATACTTATTGATGACCTGACAGACTTTTTGATGACCTGAGAGACTTATTGATGATCTGATAGACTTATCGATGATCTGAGAGACTTATCAATGATCTGAAAGACTTATCGATGATCTGAGAGACTTATTGATGATCTGAGATACGTATCAATGATCTGAGAGACTTATCGATGATCTAAGAGATGTATAGATCTGAGACACTTATTCATGATCTGAGAAACCTATCGATGATCTGAGAGATGTATTGATGATCTGAGAGACGTTTTGATGATCTGAGAGACTTATCGATGATCTGAGAGACTTATTGATGATCTAAGAGACTTATCGATAATCTTAGATACATATTGATGATCTAAGAGACTTATTGATGATCTGAGAGACATATAAATGATCTAAGATAGTTATCGATGATCTGATAGACGTATCGATGATCTGCGAGACATATCGATGATCTGAGAGAATTATTGATGATCTGATAGACGTATTGATGATCTGATATACTTATCGATGATCTGAGAGACTTATCGATTATCTGAGAGACTTATCAATGATCTAAGAGATGTATTGATGATCTAAGAGACTTATTGATGATCTGATAGACTTATCGATTATCTAAGAGATGTATTGATCTGAGACACTTATTGATGATCTGAGAGAATTATTGATGATCTAAGAGACTTATGGATGGTCTAAGAGACTTATTGAGAGACTTATTGATGAACTGATAGACTTATCGATGATCTGAGATACTTATTGATGATCTGAGAGACTTATTGATGATCTGATAGACGTATTGATGATCTGATATACTTATCGATGATCTGAGAGACTTATCGATTATCTGAGAGACTTATCAATGATCTAAGAGATGTATTGATGATCTAAGAGACTTATTGATGATCTGATAGACTTATCGATTATCTAAGAGATGTATTGATCTGAGACACTTATTGATGATCTGAGAGAATTATTGATGATCTAAGAGACTTATGGATGGTCTAAGAGACTTATTGAGAGACTTATTGATGAACTGATAGACTTATCGATGATCTGAGAGACTTATCGATGATCTGAGAGACTTAACGATGATCCGAGAGACTTATTGATGATCTGAGAGACTTTTCGATTATCTGAGAGACTTATAGATGATATAAGAGACTTATTGAGAGACTTATCGATGAACTGATAGACTTATTGATGATCTGAGAGACTTATCAATGATCTGAGAGACTTATCGATGATCTTTGAGACTTATCGATGATCTGAGAGACTTATTGATGATCTGATAGACTTATCGATGACCTGAGAGACTTATCGATTATCTGAGAGAATTATCGATGATCTGAAAGACTTATTGATGATCTGAGAGACTTATTGATGATCTGAGAGATTTATCAATGATCTAAGAGATGTATTGATCTGAGACACTTATTCATGATCTGAGAGACTTATCGATGATCTAAGAGATGTATTGATGACCTGAGGGACTTATTGATGATCTAATAGACGTTTTGATGATCTGAGATACATATTGATGATCTGAGAGACTTATAGATGATCTGAGAGACTTATTGATGATCTGAGAGACTTATTGATGATCTGATAGACTTATCGATGATCTGAGAGACTTATCGATTATCTGAGAGACTTATCGATGATCTGAAAGACTTATCGATGATCTGAGATACTTATTGATGATCTGAGAGACTTATCAATGATCTAAGAGATGTATTGATCTGAGACACTTATTCATGATTTGAGAGACTTATCGATGATCTAAGAGATGTATTGATGATCTTAGAGACTTATCGATGATCTAAGAGACTTATAGATTATCTGAGAGACGTATTGATGATCTAAGAGATGTATTGATGATCTGAGAGACTTATTGATGATCTAATGGACTTATAGATCTGAGAGACTTGGTGATTTGAGATACTTATCGATTATCTGAGAGACTTATCGATTATCTGAGAGACTTATTGATGATGCGAGGGACTTATTGATGATCTGAGAGACTTATCGATGATCTAAGAGATGTATTGATGATCTGAGAGACTTATCGATGATCTGATAGACTTATCGATGATCTGCGAGACTTATCAATGATCTGAGAGAATTGTTGATGATCTGATAGACTTATCGATGATCTGAGAGACGTATCCATTTTCTGAGAGACTTATTGATGATCTGATAGACTTATCGATGATCTGAGAGACGTATCCATTTTCTGAGAGACTTATTGATGATCTGAGATATCTTATCGATGATCTGAGAGACTTATCAATGATCTAAGAGATGTATTGTTCTGAGACACTTATTCATGATATGAGAAACTTATCGATGATCTAAGAGATGTATTGATGATCTAAGAGACGTATTGATGATCTGAGAGACGTATTGATGATATGATAGACTTATCGATGATCTGAAAGACTTATCGATTATCTGAAAGACTTATCAATTGATCTAAGAGATGTATTGATCTGAGACACTTATTGATGATCTGAGAGAATTATTGATGATCTAAGAGACTTATGGATGGTCTAAGAGACTTATTGAGAGACTTATTGATGAACTGATAGACTTATCGATGATCTGAGAGACTTATCGATGATCTGAGAGACTTAACGATGATCCGAGAGACTTATTGATGATCTGAGAGACTTTTCGATGATCTGAGAGACTTATAGATGATATAAGAGACTTATTGAGAGACTTATCGATGAACTGATAGACTTATTGATGATCTGAGAGACTTATCGATGATGTGAGAGACTTATCGATGATCTGATAGACTTATCGATGATCTTCGAGACTTATCGATGATCTGAGAGACTTATTGATGATCTGATAGACTTATCGATGATCTGAGAGACTTATCGATTATCTGAGAGACTTATCGATGATCTGAAAGACTTATTGATGATCTGAGAGACTTATTGATGATCTGAGAGACTTATCAATGATCTAAGAGATGTATTGATCTGAGACACTTATTCATGATCTGAGAGACTTATCGATGATCTAAGAGATGTATTGATGATCTGAGAGACTTATTAATGATCTAATAGACGTTTGATGATCTGAGATACATATTGATGATCTGAGAGACTTATAGATGATCTGAGAGACTTATAGATGATCTAAGAGACTTATTGAGAGACTTATCGATGATCTGAAAAACTTATTGATTATCTGAGAGACTTATCGATGATCTGAGAAACTTATCGATGATCTGAGAGACTTATTGATGAGCTGAGAGACTTATCGATGATCTGAGAGACTTATTGATGATCAGAGAGACTTATTGATGATCTGACAGACTTATCGGTTATCTGAGAGATGTATTGATGGTCTAAGAGATGTATTGATCTAAGACTTATTGATGATCTGAGAGACTTATTGATGATCTGAGAGACTTATCGATTATCTAAGAGACATATCGATGATCTAAGAGACTTATAGATGATCTGAGAGATGTATTGATGATCTGAGATACTTATTGATGATCTGAGAGATGTATTGATGAACTGAGAGAATTATTGATGATCTGATAGACTTATCGATGATCTGAAAGACTTATCGATGATCTGAGAGACTTATTGATGATCTGAGATACTTATCGATGATCTGAGAGAATTATCGATGATCTAAGAGATGTATTGATGATCTAAGAGACTTATTGATGATCTGAGAGACGTATTGATGATCTAATAGACGTATTGATGATCTGAAAGACTTATCGATGATCTAAGAGATGTATTGATGATCTAAGATACTTATTGATGATCTGATAGACTTATCGATGCTCTGAGAGACTTATCAATTATCTGAGAGATTTATCGATGATCTAAGAGATGTATTGATCTGAGACACTTATTGATGATCTGAGAGAATTATTGATGATCTAAGAGACTTATCGATGGTCTAAGAGACTTATTGAGAGACTTGTTGATGAACTGATAGATTTATCAATGATCTGAGAGACTTATCGATGATCTGAGAGACGTAATGATGATCTGAGAGACTTTTTGATGATCTGAGTGACTTATTGATGATCTGAGAGACTTTTTGATGATCTGAGAGACTTATAGATGATCTAAGAGACTTATTGAGAGACTTATCGATGAACTGATAGACGTATTGATGATCTGAGAGACTTATCGATGATCTGAGAGACTTATAGGCGATCTGAGAGACTTATCTGTTATCTGAGAGAAATATTGATGATCTAAGGGATGTATTGATCTAATACTTATTGATGATCTGAGAGACTTATTGATGATCTGAGAGACTTATCGATGATCTAAGAGATGTATTGATGATTTGAGAGACGTATTGATGATCTGAAAGACTTATTGATGATCTAACGGACTTGTGGATCTGAGAGACTTGGTGATTTGAGAGACTTATCGATTATCTGAGAGACTTATCGATTATCTGAGAGACTAATTGATGATGCAAAGGACTTATTGATCATCTGAGAGACTAATCGATGATCTAAGATATGTATTGATGATCTGAGAGAATTATCGATTATCTGAGAGAGTTATTGATGTTGTGAGAGACTTATCGATTATCTTAAAGATTTATCGATGATCTGAGAGAGTTATTGATGATCTGAGAGACTTGTCGAGGATCTGAGAGACTTATCGATTATCTAAGAGATGTATCGATGATCTAAGAGACTTATAGATGATCTGAGAGACGTATTGATGATCTAAGAGATGTATTGATGATCTGAGTTACTTATTGATGATCTGAGAGATGTATTGATGATCTGAGAGACTTATTGATGATCTAAGGGCCTTATAGCTCTGAGACTTGGTGATCTGACAGACTTATCGATTATCTGAGAGACTTATTGATGATGTGAGGGACTTATTGATGATCTGCGAGACTTATTGATGATCTAAGATACTTATTGATGATCTGAGAGACTTATCGATGATCTAAGTGATGTATTGATGATTTGAGAGACTTATCGATGATCTGAGAGAGTTATTGATGATCTGAGAGATGTATCGATGATCTGAGAGACGTATCGATGATCTAAGAGACTTATTGATGATCTAAGAGACTTATAGATGATCTGAGAGACGTATTGATGATCTAAGAGATGTATTGATGATCTAAGAGACTTATAGATCTTAGAGACTTGGTGATCTGAGAGACTTATCGATTATCTGAGAGACTTATCGATTATCTGAGAGACGTATTGATGATCTGAGGGACTTATTGATGATCTGAGAGACTTATTGATGATCTAAGATACTTATTGATGACCTAAGAGACTTTTCTATGATCTGACAGACTTATTGATGATCTAAGAGATGTATTGATGATCTGAGATACTTATTGAGAGACTTATTGATGATCTGAGAGAATTATTGATTATCTGAGAGACTTATAGATCTGAGAGATGTATACTACTACTGATGATGATACTACTATTGACGATGATGATGATGATACTACTACTGATGATGATACTACTACTGATGATGATGATGATACTACTACTGATGATGATGCTACTACTGAAGATGATACTACTGATGATAATGATACTACTACTGATGATGATACTACTACTGATGATGATGATAATGATACTACTACTAATGATGATGATACTACTACTGATGATGATACTACTGATGATGATACTACTTCTGATGATGATACTACTACCACTGATGATGATACTACTGATGTTGATGCTACTACTGATGATGATGATACTACTGATGATGATGATACTACTACTAATGATGATGATACTACTACTGATGATGATACTACTGATGATGATACTACTACTGATGATGATACTACTACCGCTGATGATGAATCTACTGATGATGATACTACTACTGATGATGATACTACTACTGATGATGATGATACTACCACTGATGATGAAACTACTGATGTTGATACTACTACTGATGATGATACTACCACTGATGATGATACTACTACTGATGATGATGATACTACCACTGATGATGAAACTACTGATGTTGATACTACTACTGATGATGATACTACTACTGATGATGATGATACTACCACTGATGATGAAACTACTGATGTTGATACTACCACTGATGATGATGCTACTACTGATGATGATGCTACTACTGATGATGATACTACTGATGATGATGTCAGGATGAAGAATTTAAGAACAAAGTGGCTCACAAGATATTCAAAGCGAAGAAGCAATGTCAACTCCTCAAGTCAATGGAAAAACACGACTTTCAAGACATGTAACATGACTCACCCACTTAGTCACCCACTCACTCAGCCACCCACCCACTCACTCACCCACTCACTCACTCACCCACTCACCCACCCACCCACTCACTCACTCACTCACCCACTAACTCACTCACTCGCTCACTCACCCACTCACTCACTCAGTCACTCACTCACTCACCCACTCACCCACTCAGCCACCCACTCACTCACTCACCCACTCACTCACTCACCCACCCACTCACTCACTCACTCACCCACTCACCCACTCACTCACTCACCAACTCACTCACCCACTCAGTCACTCACTCACTCACTCACCCACTCACTCACTCAGTCACCCACTCACTCACTCACCCACTCACTCACCCACTCACTCACTCACTCAGTCACTCACTCACTCACTCACCCCCTCACTCACTCAACCACTCACTCACTCAGTCACCCACTCACTCACTCACTCACCCCCTCACTCACTCACCCACTCACTCACTCAGTCACCCACTCACTCACTCACTCACCCACTCACTCACTCACCCACTCACTCACTCACTCACCCCCTCACTCACCCACTCACTCACCCACTCACTCACCCACTCACTCATTCACCCACTCACTCACTCAGTCACTCACTCAGTCACTCACTCACCCACTCACTCACCCACTCACTCACCCACTCACTCACCCACTCACTCATTCACCCACTCACCTACTCACTCACTCACTCACCCACTCAGTCACCCACTCACTCACTCACTCACCCACTCACCCACTCCCTCACTCACCCACTCACTCACCCACTCACTCACCCACTCACCAACCCACTCACCCACTCACTCACCCACTCACTCACTCACTCACCCACTAACTCACTCACTCACCCACTCACTCACCCACTAACTCACTCACTCACCCACTCACTCACCCACTAACTCACTCACTCACCCACTCACTCACCCACTAACTGACTCACTCACCCACTCACTCACTCACTCAATCAGTCACCCACTCACTCACTCAACCACTCACTCACCCACTCACTCACTCACTCACCCACTCACTCACTCACTCCCCCACTCACTCACTCACTCACCCACTCACTCACTCACCCACTCACTCACTCAGTCACTCACCCACTCACTCAGTCACCCTTTCAGTCACCCACTTACTCACTCACCCACTCACTCACTCAGTCACTCACTCAGCAGCCACTCACTGAGTCAGTCACTTAGTAATTCAGTGACTGACTCAGTGAGTCACTAAGTCACTCAGTCAGTCAATCAGTAAATCACCACCACCACCACTACCACCACTACCACTACCATCACTACCAACACCACTACCACTACCATCACTACCACCACCACCACCACCACCACTACCACTACCCCCACCACCACTACCATCATCACCACCACCACTACCACCACCACCACTACCATCACCACCATCACTGCCATCACCATCACCACCACCACCACCACTACCACCACCATCACCTCCACCATCACCACCACCATCACCACCACCATCACCACCACCATCACCACAACCACCACCACCACCATCACCACCACCACCACCCTCACCACCACCACCACCACCATCACCACCACCACCACCACCACCACCCTCACCACCATCACCACCATCACCACCATCACCACCATCACCACCACCACCACCACCATCACCACCACCACCATCACCACCACCACCACCATCACCACCACCACCACCACCATCACCACCACCCCCACCACCACCACCACCATCACCACCATCACCATCACCACCATCACCACCACCATCACCACCACCACCACCACCATCACCACCATCACCACCATCACCACCACCATCACCACCACCATCACCACCACCATCACAATCATCATCATCATCATCAGTAGTAGTATCATCATCATCAGTAGTAATATCATCATCATCATCATCAGTAGTAATATCATCATCATCAGTAGTAGTATCATCATCATAATTATCATCAGTAGTAGTAGTATCATCATCATCAGTAGTAATATCATCACCACCATCATCACCACGATCACTACGATCACCACCATCACCACGATCACCACGATCACCACGATCTCTGTCTGCAGGATTCTTGTTGTGGTCTCGCAACAATCCCCGTCTCTCTCCGTGGATGAGTCAAAGCGGATCGCCCTCAGGGTGGAGAACTCTACGAGGAACTGCTGCCTCAAACATGCGGATGGATTCTGTCTCTACACAGTGAGCAGTCATCATCATCATCAGTCATCATCATCATCAGTAGTAGTATCATCATCATCATCAGTAGTAGTATCATCATCATCATCAGTAGTAGTATCATCATCAGTAGTAGTATCATCATCATCATCATCAGTAGTATCATCATCATCATCAGTAGTAGTATCATCATCATCATCATCAGTAGTAGTATCATCATCATCAGTAGTAGTATCATCGTCAGTAGTATCATCATCATCATCAGTAGTAGTATCATCATCATCAGTAGTATCATCATCATCATCATCAGTAGTATCATCATCAGTAGTAGTATCATCATCATTATCATCAGTAGTAACATCATCATCAGTAGTAGTATCATCATCAGTAGTAGTATCATCATCAGTAGTATCATCATCATCATCAGTAGTAGTATCATCATCAATAGTAGTATCATCATCATCATCAGTAGTATCATCATCAGTAGTAGTATCATCATCATTATCATCAGTAGTAACATCATCATCAGTAGTAGTATCATCATCAGTAGTAGTATCATCATCATCAGTAGTATCATCATCATCAGTAGTAGTATCATCATCATCATCAGTAGTAGTAGTATCATCATCAGTAGTAGCATCATCATCCGTAGTAGTATCATCATCATCAGTAGTAGTATCATCATCATCATCAGTAGTAGTATCATCATCATCATCAGTAGTATCATCATCATCAGTAGTATCATCATCATCAGTAGTATCATCATCATCAGTAGTATCATCATCATCATCATCAGTAGTATCATCATCAGTATCATCATCATCATCATCATCAGTAGTATCATCATCATCAGTAGTAGTATCATCATCATCATCAGTAGTAGTATCATCATCATCAGTAGTAGTATCATCATCATCAGTAGTAGTATCATCATCAGTAGTATCATCATCAGTAGTAGTATCATCATCATCATCATCAGAAGTAGTATCATCATCATCATCAGTAGTAGTATCATCATCAGTAGTAGTATCATCATCATCAGTAGTATCATCATCATAAGTAGTATCATCATCATCATCAGTAGTATCATCATCATCATCAGTAGTATCATCATCATCAGTAGTATCATCATCATCATCAGTAGTATCATCATCATCAGTAGTATCATCATCATCATCAGTAGTATCATCATCATCAGTAGTAGTATCATCATCATCAGTAGTATCATCATCATCATCATCAGTAGTAGTAGTAGTATCATCAGTAGTAGTATCATCATCATCAGTAGTATCATCATCATCAGTAGTAGTATCATCATCATTAGTAGTATCATCATCATCATCAGTAGTATCATCATCATCATCGGTAGTAGTATCATCATCATTAGTAGTAACATCATCATCAGTAGTAGCATCATCAGCAGCAGTAGTATCATCATTATCAGTAGTAGTATCATCATCATCATCAGTAGTAGTAGCATCATCATCAGTAGTAGTAGCATCATCAGCAGCAGTAGTATCATCATCAACAGTAGTAGTAGTAGCATCATCATCAGAAGTAGTATCATCATCATCATCAGTAGTAGTATCATCATCATCAGTAATATCATCATCATCATCAGTAGTATCATCATCATTATCAGTTGTATCATCATTATCATCAGTAGTAGTATCATCATCAGTAGTAGTATCATCATCAGTAGTAGTAGTATCATCATCAGTAGTTTCATCATTATCATCATCAGTAGTAGTATCATCATCAGTAGTATCATCATCATCAGTAGTAGTATCTTCATCATCAGTAGTAGTATCATCATCATCATCATCAGTAGTATCATCATCATCATCAGTAGTATCATCATCATCAGTAGTAGTATCATCATCATCATCATCAGTAGTATCATCATCATCAGTAGTATCATCATCAGTAGTAGTATCATCATCATCAGTAATATCATCATCATCATCATCAGTAGTAGCATCATCATCAGTAGTAGTATCATCATCAGTAGTATCAACAGTATCATCATCATCAGTAGTGGTATCATTATCAGTAGTAGTATCATCATCATCATCAGTGGTAGTATCATCATCAGTAGTAGTATCATCATCATCAGTAGTATCATCATCATCAGTAGAAATATCATCATCAGTAGTAGTATCATCATCATCAGTATCATCATCATCAGTATCATCATCATCAGTAATAGTATCATCATCAGTAGTAGTATCATCATCATCAGTAGTAGTATCATCATCATCAGTAGTAGTATCATCATCAGTAATAGTATCATCATCAGTGGTAGAATCATCATCAGTAGTAGTAGTGTCTCTATGTATCTCTATGAGTCTCTATCTATCTCTATGAGTCTCTATGTATCTCTATGTATCTCTAAATATCTCTATGTATCTCTATGAGTCTCTATCTATCTCTATGAGTCTCTGTGTGTCTCTATGTATCTCTATGAGTCTCTATGTATCTCTATATATCTCTATGTATCTCTATGAGTCTCTATGTATCTCTATGAATCTCTATGAGTCTCTATGTATCTCTACGAGTCTCTATGTATCTCTATGTGTCTCTGTATATCTCTATGAGTCTCTATGTATCTCTATGTATCTCTACGAGTCTCTATGTATCTCTATGTATCTCTATGAGTCTCTATGCATCTCTATGAGTCTCTATGTATCTCTATGAGTCTCTATTTATCTCTACGAGTCTTTTGTATCTCTATGTATCTCTATGTATCTCTATGAGTCTCTAAGTATCTCTATGTATCTCTATTAATCTCTATGAGTCTCTATGTGTCTCTATGAGTCTCTATCTATCTCTATCTATCTCTATGTATCTCTATGTGTCTCTATGTATCTCTATGTATCTCTATGAGTCTCTATGTATCTCTATCTATCTCTATGTATCTCTATGTGTCTCTATGTATCTCTATGTATCTTTATGAGTCTCTACGAGTCTCTATGTATCAATATGAATCTCTATATATCTCTATGTATCTCTATGTATCTCTATGAGTCTCTATGAGTCTCTGTATCTCTATGAGTCTCTATGTATCTCTATGAGTCTCTATGAGTTTCTATATATCTCTATGAGTCTCTATGTATCTCTATGTGTCTCTATGTAGCTCTGTGTCTCTATGAATCTTTATGAGTTTCTATGTATCTCTATGTATCTCTATGTATCTATATGAGTCTATTTGTATATCTATGAGTCTCTATGTATCTGTACGCATCTCTACGTATCTCTATGAGTCTCTATGTGTCTCTATGTATCTCTATGAATCTCTATGTATCTCTATGAATCTCTATGTATCTCTGTGTATCTATATGTATCTCTATGAATGTCTACGAGTCTCTATGTATCTCTATAAGTCTCTACGTATCTCTATGAGTCTCTATGTATCTCTATCTATCTCTATGAGTCTCTTTGTATCTCTATGAGTCTCTATGAGTCTCTACAAGTCTCTATGTATCTTTATGTATCTCTATGAGTCTCTATGTATCTCTATGTATCTCTATGTATCTTTATGTATCTCTATGTGTCTCTATGAGTCTCTATGTATCTCTATGAGTCTCTATGTATCTCTATATATCTCTATGAGTCTCTATGTATCTCTATGTATCTCTATGAGTTTCCATTTATCTCTATGTATCTCTATGTATCTCTATGTGTCTCTACGTATCTCTATGAGTCTCTATGATTCTCTATATATCTCTATGTATCTCTATGTGTCTCTATGAGTCTCTATGTATCTCTATGTATCTCTATGTGTCTCTACGTATCTCTATGAGTCTCTATGTATCTCTATGTATCTCTATGAGTCTCTATGTATCTCTATGTATCTCTATGTATCTCTATGCATCTCTATGAGTCTCTATGTATCTCTATGTATCTTTATGAGTCTCTATGAGTCTCTACGTATCTCTACGTATCTCTATGTATCTCTATGAGTCTCTATGTATCTCTATGTATCTCTATGAGTCTCTATGTATCTCTATGAGTCTCTACGTATCTCTACGTATCTCTATGCATCTCTGTGAGTCTCTATGTATCTCTATGTGTCTCTATGAGTCTCTATGTATCTCTATGAGTCTCTATGTATCTCTATGTGTCTCTATGAGTCTCTATGTATTTCTATGAGTCTCTGTGTGTCTCTATGTATCTCTATGTATCTCTATATATCTCTATATATCTCTATATCTCTATGAGTCTCTGTGTGTGTCTCTACGAGTCTCTATGTATCTCTATGAGTCTCTACGTATCTCTACGTATCTCTATGTATCTCTATGAGTCTCTGTGTGTCTCTATGTATCTCTATGTATCTCTATATATCTCTATATATCTCTATATCTCTATGAGTCTCTGTGTGTGTCTCTACGAGTCTCTATGTATCTCTATGAGTCTCTATGTATCTCTATGTATCTCTATGAGTCTCTATATATCTCTATGTATCTCTATGTATCTCTATGTGTCTCTATGAGTCTCTATGTGTCTCTATGAGTCTCTATGTATCTCTATGTATCTCTAAGTATCTCTATGAGTCTCTATTTATCTCTATGTATCTCCATGTGTCTCTGTGTATCTCTTTGAGTCTCTATGTATCTCTATGTATCTCTATGTATCTCTATGAGTCTATGTATCTCTATGTATCTCTATGTATCTCTATGTATCTCTACGAGTCTCTATGTATCTCTATGTATCTCTACGAGTCTCTATGTATCTCTATATATCTATGTATCTCTATGTATCTCTACACGTATCAATGCATCTCTATAAGTCTCTACATATCTCTATGTATCTCTATGTATCTCTATGAGTCTCTACGCATCTCTATGTATCTCTATGTATCTCTATGTATCTCTATGAGTCTATGTATCTCTATGTATCTCTATGCATCTCTATAAGTCTCTACGTATCTCTATGCATCTCTATGTATCTCTATGTGTCTCTATGTATCTCTATGTATCTCTATATATCTCTATGTATCTCTATGAGTCTCTATGTATCTCTATGAGTCTCTACGCATCTCTATGCATCTCTATGAGTCTCTTTGTATCTCTATGTATCTCTATGTATCTCTATCTATCTCTATGTATCTCTATCTATCTCTATGTATCTCTATGTATCTCTATGAGTCTCTATGTGTCTCTATGTATCTCTATGTATCTCTATGTATCACTACAGGTCTCTATGCATCTCTATAAGTCTCTACGTATCTCTATGTATCTCTCTGTCTCTGTTTATCTCTACGTATCTCTACATATCTCTATGAGTCTCTATGAGTCTCTACGTATATCTACGCATCTCTATGTGTCTCTATATATCTCTATGTGTCTCTATGTATCTCTATGAGTCTCTGTATCTCTATGAGTCTCTATATATCTCTTTGTATCTCTATGAGACTCTATGTATCTCTATATATCTCTATGTGTCTCTATGTATCTCTATGTGTCTCTATGTATCTCTATGAGTCTCTGTATCTATATGAGTCTCTATGTATCTCTTTGTATCTCTATGAGTCTCTATGTATCTCTATGTATCTCTATTTGTCTCTATATATCTCTATGTGTCTCTATGTGTCTCTATGTATCTCTATGTATCTCTATGAGTCTCTATGAGTCTCTATATATCTCTATGTATCTCTGTATATCTCTATGTATCTCTATGTGTCTCTATATATCTCTATGTGTCTCTATGTATCTCTATGAGTCTCTGTATCTCTATGAGTCTCTATGTATCTCTTTGTATCTCTATGAGTCTCTATGTATCTCTATATATCTCTATGTGTCTCTATGTATCTCTATGTGTCTCTATGTATCTCTATGAGTCTCTGTATCTATATGAGTCTCTATGTATCTCTTTGTATCTCTATGAGTCTCTATGTATCTCTATGTATCTCTATTTGTCTCTATATATCTCTATGTGTCTCTATGTGTCTCTATGTATTTCTATGTATCTCTATATATCTCTATGTGTCTCTATGTATCTCTATGTATCTCTATGTGTCTCTATATATCTCTGTGTCTCTATGTGTCTCTATTTATCTCTATGTGTCTCTATATATCTCTATGTATCTCTATGAGTCTCTATGTATCTCTATGTATCTCTATGTATCTCTATGAGTCTCTATGTATCTCTATATATCTCTATGAGCCTCTATGTATCTCTATGTATCTCTATTTATGTCTGTGAGTCTCTATGTATCTTTATGAGTCTCTATGTATCTTTATGTCTCTCTATGTATCTCTATGTATCTCTATGAGTCTCTATGTATCTCTATGTATCTCTACGTGTCTCTATGTATCTCTGAGTCTCTCTGTATCTCTATGTATCTCTACCTATCTCTATGTATCTCTATGAGTCTCTATGTATCTCTATGTATCTCTATGTGTCTCTATCTATCTCTATGAGTCTCTATGTATCACTATGACTCTCTATAAGTCTCTATGAGTCTCTACGTACCTCTATGAATCTCTGTTTATCTCTACGTATCTCTACGTATCTATATGTGTCTCTATGTATCTCTACGTACCTCTATGAGTCTCTGTTTATCTCTCCGTGTCTCCACGAGTCTCTATGAGACTCTATGAGTCTCTATGTATCTCTGTTTATCTCTACGAGTCTCTATGTATCTCTATGTATCTCCATGAGTCTCTATGCGTCTCTACGTTTCTCTATGAGTCTCTACGCGTCTCTGCGTGTCTCTATGTATCTCTATGTATCTCTATGTATCTCTACGAGTCTCTATGTATCTCTATGTGTCTCTATGTATCTCTATGTATCTCTATGAGTCTCTATGTATCTCTATGTATCTCTATGTGTCTCTATGTATCTGTATGTGTCTCTATGTATCTCTATTTATCTCTACGTATCTCTATGAGTCTCTATGTATCTCTATGAGTCTCTATGTATCTCTATGAGTCTCTACGCGTCTCTGCGTGTCTCTATGTATCTCTATGAGTCTCTATGTTTCTCTATGTATCTCTATGTATCTCTATGTGTCTTTATGTATCTCTATGTGTCTCTATGAGTCTCTATGTATCTCTATGTATCTCTATAAGTCTCTATATGTCTCTATGAGCCTCTATGAGTCTCTACGTTTCTCTATGAGTCTCTATGTGTCTCTATATATCTCTATGTATCTCTATGTATCTCTATGAGTCTCTATGTATCTCTATGAGTCTCTATGTATCTCTATGAGTCTCTATGTATCTCTATATATCTCTATGTATCTCTATGTATCTCTATGAGTCTCTATGTATCTCTATGAGTCTCTATGTATCTCTATGAGTCTCTACGCGTCTCTACGTTTCTCTATGAGTCTCTACGTGTCTCTGCGTGTCTCTATGTATCTCTATATATCTCTATGTATCTCTATGTATCTCTATGAGTCTCTATGTATCTCTATGTGTCTCTATGTATCTCTATAAGTCTCTATATATCTCTATGAGTCTCTATGTATCTCTATGTATCTCTATAAGTCTCTATATATGTCTATGAGTCTCTATCTATCTTTATGTATCTCTTTATATCTTTATGAGTCTCTATGAGTCTCTATGTACCTCTATGAGTCTCTATGTATCTCTATGAGTCTCTATGCATCTCTATAAGTCTCTACGTATCTCTATGAGTCTCTATAAGTCTCTACGTACCTCTATGAGTCTCTATGTATCTCTATGAGTCTCTATGTATCTCTATGTATCTCTATGAGTCTCTACGCGTCTCTACATATCTCTATGAGTCTCTATGTATCTCTATGAGTCTCTATGTATCTCTATGAGTCTCTACGCGTCTCTGCGTGTCTCTATGTATCTCTACATATCTCTATGAGTCTCTATGTATCTCTATGAGTCTCTATGTATCTCTATGAGTCTCTACGCGTCTCGCGTGTCTCTATGCATCTCTATGTATCTCTATGTATCTCTACGAGTCTCTATGTATCTCTATGTATCTCTATGTATCTCTATGAGTCTCTATGTATCTCTATGTATCTCTATGAGTCTCTATGTGTCTCTATGTATCTCTATGTATCTCTATTTATCTCTATGAGTCTCTACGTACCTCTATGTATCTCTGCGTATCTCTACGAGTCTCTACGCGTCTCTGCGTGTCTCCACGAGTCTCCGACATCCTCCTTGACCCCCTCCTAGAAATCCGCCATCCATGACGAGATTTGCCTGGACAAGGGAATCCTCTCTCATCACCCGCGGCTTGCACAATGCTGCCGCAGTTTGGGATCTCCTAGGCTCAGGTGTTCACAGGGAGTCACCGAAAAGTTCCACTCCATCCTCGACACCTCCTCGCTGCTGTCGCTGGAGGAACAGTGCCGGTTCAGCCACGATCAGCCGGAGGAGATGCACGATAGGTATGGGTGGGCGGGTCGGTTAATGAGTGGGTGGGTGGGTGAGTGAGTGGGTGAGTGAGTAAGTTGGTGAGTGAGTGGGTGAATGGGTGAATGAGTGGGTGAGTAAGTAAGTGAGTGGGTGGGTGGGTGGGTGAGTGAGTGGGTGGGTGGGTGAGTGAGTGAATGAGTAAGTGGGTGAGTGAGTGAGTGGGTGAGTGAGTGGGTGAATGAGTGAGTGAGTGGGTGAGTGAGTGGGTGAGTGAGTGAGTGGGTGGGTGGGTGGGTGAGTGGGTGGGTGGGTGGGTGAGTGAGTGGGTTAGTGAGTGGGTAGGTGGGTGAGTGAGTGAGTGGGTGAATGAATGAGTGAGTGGTTGAGTGAGTGATTGGGTTAGTGGGTGAGTGAATGAATGAGTGAGTGAGTGGGTGAGTGAGTGAGTGAATGAGTGAATGAATGAGTGAGTGAGTTCCACTCCATCCTCGACACCTCCTCGCTGCTGTCGCTGGAGGAACAGTGCCGGTTCAGCCACGATCAGCCGGAGGAGATGCACGATAGGTATGGGTGGGTGAGTGAGTGGGTTAGTGGGTGGGTGGGTGAGTGAGTGGGTGAGTGGGTGAGTGAGTGAGTGAGTGATTGGGTGAATGAGTGGGTGGGTGGGTGAGTGGGTGAGTGGGTTGGTGGGTGGGTGAGTGAGTGGGTGGGTGAGTGGGTGAGTGGGTGGGTGGGTGGGTGAGTGAGTGGGTGGGTGAGTGAGTGAGTGAGTGATTGGGTGAATGAGTGGGTGGGTGGGTGAGTGAGTGGGTGAGTGGGTGGGTGGGTGGGTGAGTGAGTGGGTGGGTGGGTGGGTGAGTGAGTGAATGGGTTAGTGAGTGGGTGAATGAATGAATGAGTGAGTGGTTGAGTGAGTGAGTGGGTTAGTGGGTGAGTGAATGAATGAGTGAGTGAGTGGGTTAGTGGGTGAGTGAATGAATGAGTGAGTGAGTGGGTGAGTGAGTGAGTGAGTGAATGAGTGAATGAGTGGGTGAGTGAGATCCACTCCATCCTCGACACCTCCTCGCTGCTGCCGCTGGAGGAACAGTGCCGGTTCAGCCACGATCAGCCGGAGGAGATGCACGATAGGTATGGGTGGGCGGGTCGGTTAATGAGTGGGTGGGTGGGTGAGTGAGTGGGTGAGTGAGTAAGTTGGTGAGTGAGTGGGTGAATGGGTGAATGAGTGGGTGAGTAAGTAAGTGAGTGGGTGGGTGGGTGGGTGAGTGAGTGGGTGGGTGGGTGAGTGAGTGAATGAGTAAGTGGGTGAGTGAGTGAGTGGGTGAGTGAGTGGGTGAATGAGTGAGTGAGTGGGTGAGTGAGTGGGTGAGTGAGTGAGTGGGTGGGTGGGTGGGTGAGTGGGTGGGTGGGTGGGTGAGTGAGTGGGTTAGTGAGTGGGTGGGTGGGTGAGTGAGTGAGTGGGTGAATGAATGAATGAGTGAGTGGTTGAGTGAGTGATTGGGTTAGTGGGTGAGTGAATGAATGAGTGAATGAGTGAGTGGGTGAATGACTGAGTGAATGAGTGAATGAATGAGTGAGTGAGATCCACTCCATCCTCGACACCTCCTCGCTGCTGTCGCTGGAGGAACAGTGCCGGTTCAGCCACGATCAGCCGGAGGAGATGCACGATAGGTATGGGTGGGCGGGTAGGTGGGTGAGTGGGTGGGTGAGTGAATGAGTGAGTGGGTGAATGAGTGGGTGAGTGGGTGAATGAGTGGGTGAGTGAGTGAATGGGTCAGTGAGTGGGTGAATGAATGAATGAGTGAGTGGTTGAGTGAGTGATTGGGTTAGTGGGTGAGTGAATGAATGAGTGAGTGAGTGGGTTAGTGGGTGAGTGAATGAATGAGTGAGTGAGTGGGTGAGTGAGTGAGTGAGTGAATGAGTGAATGAATGAGTGAGTGAGTTCCACTCCATCCTCGACACGTCCTCGCTGCTGCCGCTGGAGGAACAGTGCCGGTTCAGCCACGATCAGCCGGAGGAGATGCACGATAGGTATAGGTGGGCGGGTCGGTTAATGAGTGGGTGGGTGGGTGAGTGAGTGGGTGAGTGAGTAAGTTGGTGAGTGAGTGGGTGAATGGGTGAATGAGTGGGTGAGTAAGTAAGTGAGTGGGTGGGTGGGTGGGTGAGTGAGTGGGTGGGTGGGTGAGTGAGTGAATGAGTAAGTGGGTGAGTGAGTGAGTGGGTGAGTGAGTGGGTGAATGAGTGAGTGAGTGGGTGAGTGAGTGGGTGAGTGAGTGAGTGGGTGGGTGGGTGGGTGGGTGAGTGGGTGGGTGGGTGGGTGAGTGAGTGGGTTAGTGAGTGGGTGGGTGGGTGAGTGAGTGAGTGGGTGAATGAATGAGTGAGTGGTTGAGTGAGTGATTGGGTTAGTGGGTGAGTGAATGAATGAGTGAGTGAGTGGGTGAGTGAGTGAGTGAATGAGTGAATGAATGAGTGAGTGAGTTCCACTCCATCCTCGACACCTCCTCGCTGCTGTCGCTGGAGGAACAGTGCCGGTTCAGCCACGATCAGCCGGAGGAGATGCACGATAGGTATGGGTGGGTGAGTGAGTGGGTTAGTGGGTGAGTGAGTGAGTGAGTGATTGGGTGAATGAGTGGGTGGGTGGGTGAGTGGGTGAGTGGGTTGGTGGGTGGGTGAGTGAGTGGGTGGGTGAGTGGGTGAGTGAGTGGGTGGGTGAGTGAGTGAGTGAGTGATTGGGTGAATGAGTGGGTGGGTGGGTGAGTGAGTGGGTGAGTGGGTGGGTGGGTGGGTGAGTGAGTGGGTGGGTGGGTGGGTGAGTGAGTGAATGGGTTAGTGAGTGGGTGAATGAATGAATGAGTGAGTGGTTGAGTGAGTGAGTGGGTTAGTGGGTGAGTGAATGAATGAGTGAGTGGGTTAGTGGGTGAGTGAATGAATGAGTGAGTGAGTGGGTGAGTGAGTGAGTGAGTGAATGAGTGAGTGAGTTCCACTCCATCCTCGACACCTCCTCGCTGCTGTCGCTGGAGGAACAGTGCCGGTTCAGCCACGATCAGCCGGAGGAGATGCACGATAGGTATGGGTGGGTGGGTTGGTGGGTTAGTGAGTGGGTGAGTGAGTGGGTGAATGAGTGAGTGGGTGGGTGGGTGAGTGGGTGGGTGGGTGGGTGAGTGGGTGAGTGAGTGAGTGGGTGAATGAGTGGGTGAGTGAGTAAGTGGGTGAGTGAGTGAATGAGTGGGTGAATGAATTAATGAGTGGGTGGTTGAGTGAGTGAGTGGGTTAGTCGGTGAGTGAATGAATGAGTGAGTGGGTGGGTGAGTGAGTGAGTGAGTGGGTGATGGGGTGGGTGGGTTAGTGAGTGAGTGGGTGAATGAGTGGGTGAGTGAGTGGGTGAGTAAGTGGGTGAGTGGGTGAGTGGGTGGGTGAATGAGTGAGCGGGTAAGTGAGTGAGTGGGTGAATGAGTGGGTGGGTGAGTGAGTGGGTGAGTGAGTAAGTGGGTGAGTGAGTGGGTTAGTGGGTGAATGAATGAATGAGTGAGTGGTTGAGTGAGTGAGTGGGTTAGTGGGTGAGTGAGTGAGTGAGTGAATGAGTGAATGAGTGAGTGAGTGAATGAGTGAGTGAGTGAATGAATGAGTGAATGAGTGAGTGAGTTCCACTCCATCCTCGACACCTCCTCGCTGCTGTCGCTGGAGGAACAGTGCCGGTTCAGCCACGATCAGCCGGAGGAGATGCACGATAGGTATGGGTGGGTGGGTTGGTGGGTTAGTGAGTGGGTGAGTGAGTGGGTGAATGAGTGAGTGGGTGGGTGGGTGAGTGGGTGGGTGGGTGGGTGAGTGGGTGGGTGGGTGGGTGAGTGGGTGAGTGAGTGAGTGGGTGAATGAGTGGGTGAGTGAGTAAGTGGGTGAGTGAGTGAATGAGTGGGTGAATGAATTAATGAGTGGGTGGTTGAGTGAGTGAGTGGGTTAGTCGGTGAGTGAATGAATGAGTGAGTGGGTGGGTGAGTGAGTGAGTGAGTGGGTGAGGGGGTGGGTGGGTTAGTGAGTGAGTGGGTGAGTGAGTGGGTGAGTGAGTGGGTGAGTAAGTGGGTGAGTGGGTGAGTGGGTGGGTGAATGAGTGAGCGGGTAAGTGAGTGAGTGGGTGAATGAGTGGGTGGGTGAGTGAGTGGGTGAGTGAGTAAGTGGGTGAGTGAGTGGGTTAGTGGGTGAATGAATGAATGAGTGAGTGGTTGAGTGAGTGAGTGGGTTAGTGGGTGAGTGAGTGAGTGAGTGAATGAGTGAATGAGTGAGTGAGTGAATGAGTGAGTGAGTGAATGAATGAGTGAATGAGTGAGTGAGTTCCACTCCATCCTCGACACCTCCTCGCTGCTGTCGCTGGAGGAACAGTGCCGGTTCAGCCACGATCAGCCGGAGGAGATGCACGATAGGTATGGGTGGGTGAGTGAGTGGGTTAGTGGGTGAGTGAGTGAATGAGTGAGTGGGTGAATGACTGAGTGAGTGAGTGATTGGGTGAATGAGTGGGTGGGTGGGTGAGTGAGTGGGTGAGTGGGTGGCTGGGTGAGTGAATGAGTGGGTGGGTGAGTGAGTGAGTGAGTGGGTGAGTGAGTGAGTGGGTGAATGGGTGGGTGAGTGATTGAGTGGGTGAGTGGATGAGTGGGTGGGTGGGTGGGTGAATGAGTGGGTGAGTGAGTAAGTGGGTGGGTGGGTGAGTGAATGAGTTGGTGGGTGAGTGAGTGAGTGGTTGAGTGAGTGACTGGGTTAGTGGGTGAGTGGGTGAATGAGTGAATGAGTGAATGAATGAGTGAATGAGTGAGTGAGTGAATTCCACTCCATCCTCGACACCTCCTCGCTGCTGCCGCTGGAGGAACAGTGCCGGTTCAGCCACGATCAGCCGGAGGAGATGCACGATAGGTATAGGTGGGTGAGTGAGTGGGTTAGTGAGTGAGTGGGTGAGTAAGTGGGTGAGTGAGTGGGTGGGTGGGTTAGTGAGTGGGTGAGTGGGTGAGTGGGTGGATGGGTGAGTGGGTGGGTGGGTGGGTGAGTGGGT